ACATTACGAAATTAATAGGTATAAATAGTGAATAATCTTCATCTTCCCCCTTTCAGCTCTTAGGTTTTTACCAGGTAAAAACATACCTTTCAATGGCGTTCCAATCTTTCAATTTTTTCGTATTTCTGGTGCTTAATCCCTTCAATTTTATTATTAAACCCTAAATAAATCTTTTATTTTCACATATTTTCCCTACGTATGCGGTTTATATATATATATATATATATATATATATATATATATATATATATATATATATATATATATATATATAAAAAGAAACATTGGTTATTTTTTGGAGAAACTGTAGATTTTTTTGGGAATAAAAGATTACACGTTGTAATTTCTCCTAAATTCATTCGCACAGTTTCATTCGTTGTAATTTGCTCAACAACGGGCAGCCCCTTCTGATCCCTCTTTTTTTTTTTTTTTTTTTTTTTTTAATTTCCTTTTATTCTTTTTTCTTTGGGTGGGTTTTTTAACTGACGTTATAACTTCTCTCTCTCACCCACTTCTCAAATTTCTGAAGATGGTTTTTGATTCTTATCCATCTCCATTATTTTAAAATTCATTTTTTTTGTTCTATTTAAACGATCAGCCTCTCCGGTTTATTCCCCTCTTTTCCTCTGAATATAATGTTTGGATAGATATTTTTTATTTACCCTCTGTTTTTCTGTTTCCGCGTGTTTTTGCTGGATTGGTGCTTATTTTTGTGCGATTAGATTAGTGTTCTATGTGTTAGTTGTGCGATAGTGAGTGTAGCATCCTGCGTGTGTGTTTTAATTTTGTTTTAATTTTTGGATGATGAATAAGATGGGAGCTTAATCCGCTTAGACTGGTTCTTGAGTCCCCCATTAATGGTGCTTTTGATTAGCTTTTTTTGATTTTTTGATGGTGTTGCAGTGGGCTTAATGAGTTTAGTTTTGTTCTTGATTGAGAAAGCTTTTTTTGCTATTGAAGAAGAAGAAGAAGTGGGTTTTTTTCTTGATAGTGATTAGCTGATTACTTTCACCATCATCTTCTGAATCTAACAACATTCTTAAATTTTTTGTGGCTGTTGTTGGTTTTGATTGGCAGAAGAAATGAATATTGAAGTGAAGAAAAGTAGCAAGATTAGATAGAGAAAAAATACCTTCTTTGGAGAGGAGTACACAACTACAAGTGGAGCCATTTTTTTTTTTATTCTTGAAAATGTGGTAATGAACATATGAAAATCCAATCTATGTCTGTTTGTTTGTATTTTTTGAAGATCTAAGAGATGCCCTTTTTATGAAATTTGTATGGGATTTTTTAGTATCTCCATCGTATATAACATTTTGTGTGAGTTTTTTTAATGTGATTGTAGCTATAATTTTGTATTTGCAAACAAAGTCTATTATTTTTTGTGTTTGCAATATTTATCAACATCAAATATATTTTAAGGACAACACAGTAATTTTGCCAATAAACACACATAAAACAGTTTGATCAAGCAAAGAAAACATGATATTGTTAGTGCATAAATTATTAGTTCAAGTCATATAACTCCAACCAAAGGAGGTATTAATTATTGTGAATCAACAATTTAGTCCCAGTATTACATATCCCATCCATAGCTATCTATCCAAACTACCCAACCAAAAAGGCCCATGTGCGCCCTGCGGAGGCCCATGTGCGCCGCGCCGAGGCGAGAGTAGCCCTTGCCCCAATCGGGCTTGAGCTCGACGGTCTTCTCCGCATCGGAGAGCGCCTCGGAGAATTTGTTGAGGGAGGCGTAGGCGGCGGATCGGTTGGAGTAGAGGACGTGGTTGGTCGGGGCTAAGCCGATTGCGTCGGTGAAGTGGGCGACGGCGTCGTCGAAATTGCCGGCGGAGAACGCGGCGTTTCCCTTCGCCTTAGCTTCGTCTGCCATTGTTGATCAAATTGTGAGGTTTAAATCGAATAGCAGTAGGGTTTTGGGAATCTCAGAGAATTACAAAATATGCAGAGAATTTGAAAATGAAGAGCATAATAAATGGGGAAGAAAATGATGAGTGAGAGATGAGAGAGTTCTAGGGAGAGGGTTAGGGTTTCTAGAACGTTCGAGGAGAGCGAGGATTTGATTGGGTGTGGGGAAGCACGTCAAACGTATGGTGTACCATTGGCGTTCGGGCCTTTTTTTGGGCTTTTTTTTTTCCTAATGGACGGCAATAATTAAGAGCAAATGTCAAATAGGCCCATGGCAAGGACATTTAATTAAAAGAGGCACATTCAACTTTTTTTGTCTTTCAAATAAATCCAGTTCATTCAAACTTATTTGTAAATAAGGAAAACTCTTTTATATATACCAAAATTATCCCCAATTCATTGAAACCCAATTAAACTCCAATTTCATGATTCACACTCCAATTAGTCTAATTTTACCAATTAACCAATTTCTAACATAATTTCAATTTTGACCACAATTTTGACCCCGCCACCATCGGAGACCGCTGGTCAGCCGCCGTTGACTTTTTTTCTTTTTTTCTTTTGAAAACTTTTTTTTCTGAATTTTTTTTCGGTAGGTTAACCGCCGTTGACCGTCGGGTCTCCGGCGTTGGCTTTTTTTTTATATATAATTTTGTTTTTTCTTAAAAAAAATATTTTAATTAATATTACTGTCTTGGCTGTTAAATTACTGTCTCAACCAGTTATTTAACTGTCGGAGACAGTAATTTAACTGTTAATTGCCTTTTTTTTTTCTTATCAAATTATTTTAATTAATATTACTGTCTTGCCTACTAAACTACTGTCTCCAGCAGTTATTCAACTGTCGGAGACAGTAATTTAACGGTTAATTAACTTTTTTTCTTAAAAAATATTTTAATTAATATTACTGTCTTGGCTGCTAAATTACTGTCTCCAGCAATTATTTAACTATCGGAGAAAGTAATTTAACTGTTAATTGACTTCTTCTTTTTTTAAATTTATTTTTTCTTAAAAAAAAAATATTTTCATTAATATTATTATCTTGGCTGCTAAATTACTATCTCAACAGTAATTTAAATGTCTGAGATAGTAATATTACTGTATTAATTAATTTTATCGTCTTTGTCTGTAATATTACTGTCTCCGACCGTAATATTACTGTCTCATTCAATAATATTACTATTTGGGACAGTAATATTACTGTTCGAAAAAATAATATTCATAATATTACTGTCCCAGACAGTAAGTTAGCAGCCAAGACAGTAATATTAATTAAAATATTTTTTTCTAAGACAAAACAAAATTTCAAAAAAAAAAAAAAAGTCAACGGTGGTTGACTGGCCGGAAAAAAAATTCAAAAAAAAAGTCAACGCTGAAAACAGGCGGTCGACGCCGGAATCTGGCCGGAAAAAAAATTCAGAAAAAAAAAATCAAAAAATTATTAAAATGGGGGTTAATGTGATATATTTGTTTAAATCTGGGGTCAATGTGTAATATTAAGGAAGTTAGAACATAATGGATGGAATCGACAAAAAATATATTATGAAGGGAATTTTTGACTAAAGACATGGGGATAAGTTTATTTGAAAGACTTTTTTTTTTTTTGGGACCAATGTGCATTTAAGTCCCTTGAAATAGGTTTTTTTGCCATTCGCCCAAGAAATAATTATCATCTGGAAACAATTTTGGTAAATGAGATATGGGCAAATTACGACCACTCCTGAGCTATAATCGAATTACGAAAAACCTTCTTTTGTTTGGGTAATTACAGTCACCCCATTAGCTATGAATTATCCTACGAGAAAACTCTTCTAAAGGTAAATATCTCTCCCACCCTTAACACCATTTTTCGACCAAATCCTATTTTTAGAGGTGAAAAAGTGGTGTTATCTCCCACCCTTCTTAGCACATCATTCTATAATTTCTCTATTTTTAGTGACAAAATAGTTATTTGGTCTCCCACCAATTCCATTATATTTTACACCAAATAACAAAATATTAATATTTCACCATTTTACCATTTATAGATAATAGGATTTGTTTTGGTCTCCCATGACATTTCACCAAATATATTACAAAATTATAAGTCTAATGTTAATTATAAATTTAGTATAT